GGTCGATAAGGAGAAGTCAACGCGAATTTTTAATCCCCGATATTTTTCGGACATATCCCAACGTATAACTTGATTACCCGCGGGAACTACTAGGTGTAGGGACTATCAGAGGATGAATAGCGGATTATCCTCGGAAGATGAAGCATCAGATGCAAACTCTGCCATCGTTTCTGACAATACAGTGTCCAGCAAAGGATAATCCCACGAGGCGTTTATGGTCAACACCGACCAAATGGCCAAAATCATCGAGGATGCATTGGCTAAGCAAAAAGAGAACTTTAAGTTCGAAATAGAAATGGCTATGCTGTGAATGAGGGAAGAGCATGATCAATAGATCCAAGCCGTGTCGAATCAGATAGGTGAATCCAGTCGTCGTAACAATATTAGTCAAACAGCTAGCGATTCAGATGTGGATGAACACCTCGATGCAGATAACCCTCCCGTTGACCAAAACGCTAGGAGTGGCCCCACTGAGAATAACAATACTGGGGGTGGTCCCACCGAAGATGATAATGCCGGGGGTGGTCGCATTGTTCCTTTCATAAATTGTCCAAAGCATGATACAGATGAGGACGAAAAGATAACAGACCAAAATGCTCTAATGTCTGCTCGAGAGGTGAAAAGGACCAGCATTCCGTGTCCTTACCCGAGAGAGTAGGAGTCGATCCCATATCCAGCAAAGTTCAACTTGATCAACTTCACGCCGTTTGACAGGAAGTGCTCCCCTACTCAACTTCTGATCTACTTTAAGTCCTACTTAGGCATGATCTCCGGCAATGAAGCCTTGATGGTTCGGTAATTCGTCGGCACCATTTGGGGGCCTGCCTTTGATTGGTACCACCATCTCAAGCCTGAAAGTATCAATAGCTGAGATGATATGGATAGCTCATTCCTCGGCAATTTCTTTGACGATGACGCTGGGATATCCATCGGGACCCTCTTTGAGGAGAAACAGGATGACGAAGAGACGGTCGACAATTTCATCAAACGTTTTCGGAATAAGACGATGAACTACCGAGATCCGATCACGGAGGACTTCATCCTCCAAACATGTTATAATAACATATCTATTGAGATATTAGAAGTTATGGGAGTCACACTGTCCAACACATGGAAAGAGTTGAAAATGCACGGATAGCAGGCCGAATGCTTCCTCAGAAGGAAGAAAGCTGAGAGAAGCCAATCAACGATTAACTCTCCGAACTCAAGCTTCGTCTCCCGTGGTAAGGGGAAGGTGCATGCAGCAGTTGTTGATGTTAATTAGATGTCACAACAATAACCCCGAAGACAACAAAAGACTTCGGATCCGAGACTCCAAAAGGAGTACTCCTTCAAGGACGAAGACGTTCCAGCCATTTTTGAGTCCCTCCTTGAAAATAACAAGATCAAGTTACCACCTATCGCAGATCAGGAGCAAGCTGATAATACTGCGGATCCGAAGTACTGTGCGTACCACAAGAGGATCCTTCATCCTACCAAGGTTTGCTTCACTCTCAAGAAGAGCATCCAAACCTTGGTTGAAGCCGGTGTCATAACGCTCAATTAAGTCGAATAAAGACTCCGACAAGTATAAGAGTATAAACTACTCCATCCAGCACACCGAAGAGTATACGAGTATAAACTGCTTCTTAATCCTCCAATAGGCATATGAGGATAAACTGCTCCCTGCATACTCCAACAGATATATGAGCCTAAACTATTTTCTTTCTTTCACGGGAAGTTCCTAAAAAGTGTCATGTCTAGTATTCTTAAGGATAGCCCTATCATCCAACTAAGTACAATGTTAGACCCAGTTTCGCAAAGGAAGCTGGGGGTGGATGATTCATGTAATGGGAAGTTCCCGGAAGAATGTTACATATAATATTCTTAGGGATAATCCGGTCAGTACAAACAAAGTGATAAACACTAAACTCCCACTGTTAAAGTCCTCACATAGTACTCGGAATTTTAGTCTCCTGATCATTGACAATTGTTAAACCCCTTCGTGTTAAGTATTTGTCACTTAACACCAGGGACTCTCTTCAAGTGATTCGTACGAATCAACACTTTCATTGTAATTTTTACTCTCACTGTTCATTTGGTCAAACCTTCCTATAGTTAGGACCACAACCAAAGCCAAAATCTCCTCTCGAACCTTCCTATAGTTAGGACCACAACCAAAGCCAAAATCTCCTCTCGATTCCTTCCATGAACGAGAGGTCTACTTTCAAATCATTAGGACCACAACCAAAGCCAAAATCTCCTCTCGATTCCTTCCATGAACGAGAGGTCTACTTTCAAATCAAGTGATCAAACCTTTCTATAGTTAGGGTCACCTCAAACTCCTACTTGGTCAATCCTTCCTATAGTTAGGGCCAAAATCACAATTCACTCTCGATAAACGAGAAATCTACCTTTAGTTCGGTAATCAAACCTTCCGATAGTTAGGATTATCTGAATCTTTTTAATTCTCGGAGTGGAGATCCCACTCTTAGTTTCACTCTTCAAATTCTCGAGGTGGAGATCCCACTTTGAGTCTCCTTTGCAACTGGAGATAGATTATAAAATTCTTCCTCTTCGGTTTTGGGAGATAGAATATAAAATTCTTCCTCTTCTATTTTAGGTTCGTCTTTGCCCCAAGAGAAGATACCATCCTTTAACTCTAAAATCCGTACTTCACACGCGCGGGGAATTTTATCCCGAATCCTAAGAAAGGATAAGTCAACGCCTAACACGCGTTGTCGGTTTAGTCTTTTACCGATTAAAAAAGACATTAGAATCCAAGTATGGGGAATTTTATCCTTAAGCCTAAGAAGGGATAAGTCAACGCCTAACACGCGTTGCCGGTTTAGTCTTTCACGGATTAAAAAATACACCAGAATCTAAGTCTGGGGAAGTTTATCCCGAAGCCTAAGTAGGGATAATCAGTGCCTAACATACGTTGCTGATTAGTCTTTAACCATAAAAAGGACGAAAGCCCACATATTCGATATTGTGGCAGATGGTTATTCATAACACTAAAATCCGTACTTCACACGCACGGAGAATTTTATCCCGAATCCTGAGTAGGGATAAGTTAACGCCAAACACGCGTTGCCGGTTTAGTCTTTCACCGATTGAAGAAGACACCAGAATCTAAGTCTGGGGAATTTTATCCTGAATCCCGAGTAGGGATAAGTCAACGCCTAACACGCGTTGCCGGTTTAGTCTTTCACCGATTGAAGAAGACACCGGAATACAAGTATAGGGACTTTTATCCTAAATCCTAAAAAGGGATAAGTCAACGCCTAACACGCGTTGCCGAGTAGTCTATTCCCATAAGAAATACGAAGTCTACATATTTAATATCGTAGCACTAAAAGAGTTAACTCTTTTAGCATAACTTCACATACGGAACGGACTTAAACAATCCGTATGCAAGCCCGATTCAAACGGTAATCGGTAAAGGCATGTAAAATCCATTGATGGCTGGGGATTTACCAAAAATCCTGAGTCTGCATCTGATACATGCGGCTGGGTAGTCTATTCCCATGAGAAAGACGAAGTCTATGTATTCAATATCGTAGCACTAAAAGAATTAACTCTTTTAGCATAACGTTACATGCGGAACAGACTTAAACAATCTGCATACTAGCCTGACTCAAACGGTAGTCGGTAAAGGCTCATCAAACCCGTTGATGGCTGAGAGTTAGCTAAAAATCCTATACGTGTGAGAGTCATTGACGCACCAGCTTCATTAGTTGGTCTCGTGACTTAAGCATCCAACAACTTCAGGATAAAATCCATACCTGCAGACGAATCAGTTTTAATAGTTGGTCTTATAACCTCAACACTTGAGACTACCACACGTTACAATAAAAGTCAATGTTGGTCAACACGTTGTGACGAGAAGTCAACACAGGGTGATCCAAAACCCTAAGGTCAATGCCGATCAACGCGTAACCCTAGGTCAACATCGGTCAACATCGGTCAACGCGTTATGACAAGAAGTCAACACAGGGCGATCCGAAACCCTAAGGTCAACGCCGGTCAACTCGTAACCCTAGGTTAACGCTGGTCAACACATTTCGAATGAAAAGTCAACGCGAGGCGATCCAAAACCCTAAGGTCAACGCCAGTCAACGGGTAACCCTAGGTCAACACAAGTCAACGCATTTCCGATGAAGATAATCAGTTCAAAATCAACTTGATGATACGAGACAAATTCAACTCACCAGTTTTGATTCGAGACTTCGACGACGGCCAGACGATAAATGTAGTGCCGGAACAACTTTGGTTATTCATTAAGATATTGAATAGACTGAAAATCGAAGAAGTAAAGAGTCAAAGCTAACGACAGGTCCTTTTACACCGACTAAAGGTTGGACCGATCATATCCAAAGTATTTCAGGCTCATCTATAAAAGAAACGAAACTGAAATACTTTGGAGGGGGTATCTGTAGGTGTCAAAAATTACCTATAGGTCTCCATACACGGCTCGAGATAGAGAGAAGATGATAAACGTAGCTATTCGAGTCACAGAAGCTCATGTGATGATGACAAACATATGAAGTGAGTCAATGGACCATACGAAGCAACAAAACTTCGGAATAATGGAAACACGAACTGATCATGAGCCCCGTGTTGCTTACGAAAGGTGAAGCACCCCTCATATCCTATTTATTCCATATATGATTCAATCATGGGAGCTTGTATATCTCCTTTTCAGATTTCCAATGCACTTTGAATCACGCAATTCTGAGTTCGAACAATGAAAATACGGTGAAAACGGACAGAGCGCGCGAAACTACGTTCCGGGCCTCGCCGAGACACCCCTTGGTGTGTCGGCTAGGCCGAGACACCCATGAGTGTCTGGGCTGAGACACCCACGGGTGTCCACAGCCCAAAAATGCTGATTTGGCGGTTTTAAGCTATTTTCACGAGTGTCTGGGCCATGCTGAGACACCCACGGGTGTCCACAGCCCAAAAATGCTGATTTGGCGGTTTTAAGCTATTTTTCGATCGTTAACCGCCTGGATTTGTTTCAATTGATCTGATATCATCCAAGAACATGATTAAGTGGTTATAACTGAAGATAAGAGTAAATCAATTGTTCTTATCCAAACACAGGGCTCCTGAAGCCTATAAATACAGCCTCAGGGTCTTTTTTTAGATCTAGAATTCACGAGCGTCAGCGAAGCCCTGCTAAATTGAAGACTGAAGGAGAATGAATTTTAGGGAGGAAGAGGAGACTTCAGCGAATTCTTCGGCATAAATAAGGAGAGTTCGATAGATCTGCAGCCCAGTTCTTTTCCTTGAGATCGCCGCGTTGCGGTGATCTCGAGAAGAGTGGTTATCTCACTGTTGCCGAGATAATTGCTTCTGTTTCTTGATTCCTTCGCGAATCAACGAAGCAACAAGGACGTGCAATTGAAAATTCAACAAAATCAATCAAATCACAAGTCGATCATGTAGCTAGCCATCAGAATAGTCATCCAGGTAACCATGTCATACAAATAGATGGAATTAATACTTAAAAATCTACAACAAGAGACGCAGTACGTCGAGCCAAATAATCCAAACAAGGAAATCCTCTTGTATATACCATATGTCTCAAATTGTAAATAATTAAATATTAACCCCGATCTATGTATGAAAAGAAACACAACTGACCTATATCTCATACAAGAATCCATAATCACCTTAAGTAATAAGGTCATGTAACTAGCCATCCTATCACAACTCACTGGTTCATCTCTCACAGAGTTAACACTCATATCACCGAATAACTGACTGTTCACAAATCTCCTACGCGCATTCAATCCTGTGAAACAGGCGGCTAGAGGACTACACGTAATTCGATCTCGGCCCGATCCAAACTCAGGCAAAGCTCAGGTGACGAAACAGGTCACGGATCCAAGTGGCAAAACAGGTCACTTGGTCTAACAAACCAATCCCAGGACAAACATGTCTCTGGTGCGAGTCTGGATGATACATCAACAGTCTTATCCGATCACATGAACATTAACTTCCCCATCCCAACTCTTCTCGTTTTCTCTAATTTAACGTTCATAATCCCTATTAAACTTGGGTTCACCATCTAAACTCAGTCAACACACTCACATATGTCACTAAGTCTGTTCATGACACTCGAGGCTCCTAAGTCATAAACTACTAATGGTTCTCAAACACAACTAAGAACAATACATAGCAGACATATAAAACACATTAAATAAATGCAAAACGTGAAATGTGATCATAAACAGTAACTATGTAATTCAGAAAATAATTCCTTTTTCAAAATAAATTCTTTTAAAAATTCCTTTAAGTTATTATAATTATCAAAAAATGATTCTTTTGCCGAATTAAATTCTTTTAACTTATTATAATTTTCCTAAAATGATTCCATTGCCAAATAAATTCTTTTAAAAATATTTCTTAATAATTCAAATAATCTTTTTACAAAACAATTTCCATTAAAATTCTTCATTATCATTCAACGCAAATCTACACATGATATCATAATATTCACATTACAACTAATCTATGCACATACTTAATTAACAGTATATCTAAAAACAATTGTAAAGACGAATCAATAAGTAACGGGAGCTTGCCTGCGGGGCCAAGGGACCTACGGACGAGGTGGCGACGTCATTTCTTGTTGTTCGTTGTTCGACGATGCGCGCAGCGGATCGACGGCGGACTTGTGGAGCAGGACGGCGACATCGGCGACGGGTTCGACAGCGGAGATACTATTTAGTTAATTTTATTTAATTCCCAACACTAATTTCTTCTTTCCTATATATTATCGGCATTTCGCCTGTTCACATTCACGCCACCCTCTCTTCTCTATTATTCTCTCTCTCTTCTCACTTTTCTCTTCGAGCCCAATAGACCCACTCCTCGACTCGGCCGCCCTCCCGTGCAACCCAGCTCCGCCGCCTCTGGCTGTCTCCTCCGCGTCCGAGCGCCTCCAGCCTCCTCAAACCACAGATCCCGCCGTACCCCGTTCTCTCGCTTCTCTCTCGCTTCATCTTCTCTCTGGCCGCTTCGCCTGACGTTAGGCACGCTGCGCTCGCCCAGACCAGCCGACGTCACCGCCATCCGCCCTTGTCTTGACGCTTTCTGCCGGCCTTCTCTCTGGCCGCCCCGCCCTTAAGCTGCCAGCAAATTGCCTGCGCAAGCCCCCTGCTCGCCTGCCAGCTTCAACACTTTCGAGCGCCCCTCCATGAAGCGCCAGTTCACCGCTGCCTCCGACTGCACACCACCAGCTGCAGCCCCTTCATCAACAACCCGCTACTAAATAATATATCTACTACCTACTTCCAGATCTCTCACCGCAACCTCCTTTCGTCACCCGCACCTGTCGCTGTCGCCTCCCTCCCACTTCGACCACCACATGCACACCCCCAGGTCTGACCACCGCCCATCTCCGATCCCAACAACCCATCTCCTCCTCGCCTTCGCTGCCGACTCTCCCGTCCTTGCCACCCTATGTCGTTCGCCACGCCAAGCTTGAACTCGGACAAGGCCACCCCCCACTTGTCCCTCAGCCCGACGCCCCAAGCGATTTAGCCGCTATAGATCCTCCGCATATAGGAAAGAGAAATTAGGGTTTAGGGAATTAAAATAAAATTAACTAAATTAAATAATTACTAATATTTAAAAATCAAAATAATTACAGAATAATTATCTATCTATAAATAAAAACGTACTAGTTATATTTATACAATAGCTGATACGCGACAGAAGAAATAATACTATAAATTATATAATTAAACAAGAATAATTAATAAAACATATAATTACTTATTTTAGAAATCAAATAATTACAGAATTATTATCTACGCGATAAAATGGATTCGTTGTGCTAATACAACCGTTGATACGAAATAGTCAAAATATACACATTGTACAATTAAACGTGAATAAATAATAATAAAAATATATTTACTTATATTTAAAATCAAATAATTAATTATGGAATAATTATATACACAGTAAAATGTATCAGTTATACTAATACGATAGATAATAAGTAATAGTAGAAATAATACAGTGAATTGTACAAATATAACGTAATTAATAATACAACGTATTATACAAAATAATACGTAATAAATAATAATACAATATATTATTTAAAATAACATGTAATAGTATCAAAAACATAACGGATAAGTTCTATAAATTTTTTACAGTGTTAAACTAATTTATAAATATCAAAACCATTTAAATAAATATAAAATTGGATTATAAATCATAGAAAATTCTAGAAAATCAAGAAAAATACAAATACTCTTTTAAAAATTATAATTAAATATTTTAAAATATTAAAAAATTATTTTAACTAATATTGAAAATTTATGGTCCTTACAAGTCTCCTCTGTTCTTCGATCAAAACTGACATTGTTTCCCCCCATCTAGATGTTCCTCCAAAACCATGTACTCGGATGCACTTGCATCCATAGTACTGCTCCTAATGCTTTGGCTATCCTTGGTATTGTCTCTGTCCTTGTACATCACCTCTTCGTTGAATATGACATATCGGCTCCTGATAATTTTCCTATTCTTCTCATCTCACAGACGATATCCAAACTCATCAATACCGTTTCTAATGAATGTACACTTCTGATGGTCACTGATATGAACATATGTCACGCAACCAAATACTCTCAAATGTGAGAGATTAACCTTCTTGCCACTCCAAATCTCCTCTGGAATCCCAAAGTCTAATGGAACAGATGACCCATGATTAATTAAGTAAGCTGATGTATGCACCGCGTCCACCCAAAACATTTTGGGTAGACCTGCATGTAGACGCATTCTCCTCGCATGCTCTGTCAATGTTTTGTTCATTCTCTCTGTAACGACATTATATTACAGTGTTCCTGGAGTAGTCCTCTCTAAACAAATCTCATTCAGAGCACAAAACTTTTTGAACTCCTCTAGCTTGTATTCTCCACCATTGTCTGATCTCATACACTTCACTTTCAGATCTGTCTCATTCTCCACCATGGCTTTCCACTTCTTAAAGATTCCAAACACTTTTGACTTGTGCTTCATGAAGTATACTCACACCTTTCTCGAGTGATCGTCGATAAAGTTGATGTAGTACATCGAACCACCAAGAGAAGACACGCTAGCTGGACCCCATACATCTGTATAAACAAGCTCTACCTTATGAGCTTTGGGTGGTCTTCCACTCTTCTAAAAGCTAACCCTTTTCTGCTTCCTGTAGCTGCAATCTTCACAAACACCAACTTTCACTGAATTAATATAAAATTGGATTATAAATCATAGAAAATTCTAGAAAATCAAGAAAAATACAAATACTCTTTTAAAAATTATAATTAAATATTTTAAAATATTAAAAAATTATTTTAACTAATATTGAAAATTTATGGTCCTTACAAGTCTCCTCTGTTCTTCGATCAAAACTGACATTGTTTCCCCCCATCTAGATGTTCCTCCAAAACCATGTACTCGGATGCACTTGCATCCATAGTACTGCTCCTAATGCTTTGGCTATCCTTGGTATTGTCTCTGTCCTTGTACATCACCTCTTCGTTGAATATGACATATCGGCTCCTGATAATTTTCCTATTCTTCTCATCTCACAGACGATATCCAAACTCATCAATACCGTTTCTAATGAATGTACACTTCTGATGGTCACTGATATGAACATATGTCACGCAACCAAATACTCTCAAATGTGAGAGATTAACCTTCTTGCCACTCCAAATCTCCTCTGGAATCCCAAAGTCTAATGGAACAGATGACCCATGATTAATTAAGTAAGCTGATGTATGCACCGCGTCCACCCAAAACATTTTGGGTAGACCTGCATGTAGACGCATTCTCCTCGCATGCTCTGTCAATGTTTTGTTCATTCTCTCTGTAACGACATTATATTACAGTGTTCCTGGAGTAGTCCTCTCTAAACAAATCTCATTCAGAGCACAAAACTTTTTGAACTCCTCTAGCTTGTATTCTCCACCATTGTCTGATCTCATACACTTCACTTTCAGATCTGTCTCATTCTCCACCATGGCTTTCCACTTCTTAAAGATTCCAAACACTTTTGACTTGTGCTTCATGAAGTATACTCACACCTTTCTCGAGTGATCGTCGATAAAGTTGATGTAGTACATCGAACCACCAAGAGAAGACACGCTAGCTGGACCCCATACATCTGTATAAACAAGCTCTACCTTATGAGCTTTGGGTGGTCTTCCACTCTTCTAAAAGCTAACCCTTTTCTGCTTCCTGTAGCTGCAATCTTCACAAACACCAACTTTCACTGAATTAATGCCAGTTAGCATTCCCTCTGAGTGTATAATCTTCATACCCTTCTCACTCATGTGTCCCAACCTATTGTGCTAAAGATCTACACTCTCCTTGTCTGCTGCAATTGCGAGGGTATCACTCGCATGTGAAGTTAGGTAGAGTGTTCCAGTCTTGTTGCCACGGGCAACCACCATAATACCATTAGAGATTTTCTATGAATCCCCGGTAGATGTTGTAACATATCATTCTGCTCCAAGATGACCAACCAAAATAAGATTCCTCTTTAGCTTCGGTACATGTCTGACATTCATCAGATTCCACTTAGAGCCATTTATCTGTATCTACACATCACCTCTTCCCATAATACTACATGGCTCTTTATCCCCCAAGTATACTTTCCCAAAGTCCCCTGCTACATAGTTTTAATGAAACTTCCTATTAGCAGTGGCGTGTAATGAGGCTCACGAATCAATAACCCATGAATCAGAATCACTATCCATAGGAAGGATCAAGGCATCTTGCATGATATGAGCCTCCTGCTCATTCGTATCCTTCTTTGGTGCTTTACAGACTGAAGATATATGGACATCCTGGCCGCAGTTCCAACATTTCTCTTTGATAGACCTCACCTTCGAGTTCGACCTCTTCTTCTTCGACTTTGATCGATTCTTGTCCTGGTTTCCCTTATTTCGGCTTCAACCTCTCTGCTCGAGACTAAGGGCTGAACCTAAACCTTCTGATTCGTACAATTTTCTTCTAACCTCCTCGGATAGAATCATACTATCAATCTCGTTCAGCTTCAACTTCTCCTTCCCTGCTGAGTTGCCGATTTCGGTCATGTAACCTGCCTAACTATCTAGCAACTGCGATAGTATCAATATGGCTTGCACTTCATCATCAAACGTGATGTCGACTGATATGAGTTGATCAACAATCATATTGAACTCACTGAGATACATCGTGAAGGAACATCTATTGCCATCTTGAGCTTGAAGAGCGTTTGACAAGATGCACCTTGTTTGCAGCTGATGGTTGCTCGTACATCTTTGCTAGTGCTTCCATAGGCTCCACCATCATCTTCTCCTTTAATATATTGTGTGACTGATTTTTTGAGCGACAATCGGATCTGATCTAGAGCCTTTCAATCTAATATTTCCCAGTCCTCGTTGATCTCATCCTTCTTATTTCCTTTTGCTTTACCCATCAACGGACGGTAAAGATCCTTCTGGTATAGATAGTCCTCCATCTACGACTTCCAGTAGGCAAAGTCTGATCCGTAAAACCTCTCAATCTTTGATTTGCCTTCTTCTGCCATAGCTCTCACATAGATATAATCCGAACAAAGCTCTGATACCAGTTGTTAGGGATTCGTCCTATCAATAAACTGTCAAATGAACCCTCTCGCAGGACGTGTCCTCCGGATCTTGTGTTGAAAGAAGGAAAGAAGAAATCACAGCAAATAAAAGAAAACTTTACAAGGAAAAAAAATAAGAGAGAACACCAAAATTTTAACGAGGTTCGACAACTTGCCTACGTCCTCGGGAGCCACACAAAAAATTTCCTTCGAATATTAAAGAAGATTACAAAGCTTGTAAGAGATGATCTCAAACTCCTTGAGATCACTCAAAAAGAACTCCCTTTTTATTTCTCAAGGAGCGCGATTTTTCTCTAAAAAATCGCCGCTCAAGGCGATGCAAAAAATGCCGCCAAAAATCCCTACATGAATCGTTACTGGAAAACTCATGTTCAAGTGGTGGTCAGGGTTCCCTATTTATATGGAAACCCTAGGTCAAAACAGATTAAGAATTTGTTTTCTGTGAGTTCGCCTGACTGCGAAGCTCGCCTGTATGGCTTATGTTCACCTGAACATAGTCAAGCTCACATGAACTGCTTCGCTTGCACTTGGAGCTCGCCTGCACTTGGAGTTCGCTTGAACCTCTAAAGCTTGCATGATCTTCCAAGTTTGCCTGAACTTCCATAGCGCACCTGAACTGCAGGTTTGCCTGAACTCAGCTTCGAGCTTTGCCTGAACATCCAAGTTCACCTGAAATATCAAGTTTGCCTGAACTATCAAGTTTGCCTGATTTCTTAACTTAGAGAAATCTTTGCTTTGCATGCTTGTTCTAAGGTTTGGGTCTACACCCGAAACCAACAGTAATTTATGCATCTGTCTAACAAAGAAAGAGAAAGGTATATATTGAACAAATTGATTTTTTACCCAAGCATTGGTTAACACTCGAGTCACTTCTTAAAGTATCAATTTACATATTTTCTCCCTTAAACTATGTGTATGTGATCATTTTGTGAGCCTGCAGTTTAATATTAAAAGATTACTAATGTAGTATTCTTTTGCATTTCTTGTATTTTTTGGCAATCTAAAAATAAATTTTGAATTCATAGAAATGGTCAAAGCGTAAAAAGTTTTGAGAAAAAGTAATTAAAAATGTTTTTTTAGTTTGGTAAAAAAGGAGATAAACTAATAGAAACCCATCAAGAAATATAAAAATATATTATTACATTATTAATCTATTAAATATTTGACTGTAGACTCACAAAATGACCACATTAAAATTATAAATATTGTTTGAGGGGCAAATAGGTAACTCAACACTTTAATGGGCAACTTGAGAGTTTCACCAACACATTAAGAAAGAAATGATCATTTTGTCTATATATACACACACAGCAATGTGGAGAAACTTGGTACCAAGCACAAGTTTTGGTGCTTGGAAGAGAGATAACTCATTTACATCCACTCATTCAAATAGGGAACGATATTCATATAGATTAGAGAGAGGATGAGAATGAGATATCTCACTATCAAACACAAAACTTGTACTTGGTACCATCTTCAAAAAAGTATACTATCGTAGTAGTTTGTGTTAGAGAGTGCATGTTTTTATATTAGATATAAAAAGAGGATTTGATCAGAAAGTTGTATTAAAAGAATAGATAACAATAAACTATTTCTTTCTGTCCACCACCTCCTCTACTCAACAAGTGATGCTAGGTAGGCAGTTAGGGATAGTCTCTCTCCTACGATGATCCCACTATCACCGTTCACATAGGTCGAAGTTCATGCTTAGTCCGGGACTATGAAAGTTGATTGGTCAGGGATCAGTCTTGTATGGAGATACTAAAACAATATCATGTCACAATGATGGATCCACAAACTCTGCCACTACGCAAGATCTCAATGACAACAACTATATCTATTCATAGACCTGCATGAAGTCCTATTTTCAAGGACATGACCTCTGAAAGGAAGGTAAAGGTGACGAAACATCAACACCTTGCGACATAGTTGATGCACTACGAAAATGGAATATAAAAACTGGCAAATCTACGTAGGTGTGCAAGACAACATCAAAAGATCTCATAGACGGAGGATACATTCATCACACTCTTTTCAAAGAAGAACGATGCACGACTACATATCTTTAAGAATCAATTGAGGAACATGCTTCTAAGGATGTAACAATCTATCCGTATTCTAAACATGTAAAAGCAAATAAATTTGTTCAGATATTGGGGCAATTAGATCCATATTTCTAATGTATAACAACTAAGATTGAGAAAAGCAATTATCCATCATTTAATACCGGAGTATTATAGGTTCGTTGCTACTACACATGGCTAGTCCAACTCAACAAACACTGTCGGAGTTTGAGAGTTTGATGGCTACACAAGAGACGCTAGTCGAGCAACAGGCTAGTGTTTCATTAAAAAATAAAGATGAAGGACTTTTCAACAACAAATAAAAAGATGAGAACAATGAGTGGTACGCAAAGGTTGGGGCTCATATTGACAGCCATGAAGTTCATACACCGCAAGAGCACGAACATCAGAGAGGGAAGCAAAGTGATCATTGAGAAAGATGACCTGATGGAAGTTGCTATTAACTATGAAAAGAAAGACCACTTTACCAGATATTACAGCTATAAGAGAAGACCAGCACTAGAGAAAGCTGCAACATTGAGCAAATATTAAAAATACAATGAAGAGAAATGGACTGCTCAAGCACATATGGTCATTGTTAAAACTGCATCAATTAATGAGGAAGAGGCAATTGATATTACATTGACCTCCATCACGGAAGAAACCTAGTCTGCACTGGTAGCGATATCAAAGTTGAGAAAGATGGTAAAGATAGGATCATTGGTTCAGCTTGTTCCAACCATATGACAAGAGACAAGGACAACCTCGTCAATGTGAAGGAATATATCACTAGTACAAAACAGGACAACCCAAACGGCTCTCATAAGCGTGAGAACCGTTTGGGCAAATGAAAATAGTCCAAATGGTTTAAACCGTTTGGGATAACAAAACCCAAACAGTTAAAACCGTTTGAGCGAGAACGAGATCCCAAATGTAGCGCCAAAACGGATTGTTAGCCCAAACAGTTTAAACCGTTTGGATGTTTTATTTTTTATTTTAAAACATCTCTCTTTCTTCGTTTTAACTAAACCCACTCCCCCCAAAAATATTCCCCCAAACTCAAAAACCGCGCCCTCAAAAATCCATAACCCCAATCTCTGAAATCTCTCATTCCAAACTCCCAAGAATCTGCCTCCTCTTCATCATCATCGTCGTCTCCATCCCCTCAAATCCCTCATCTCAAATCCCTAGCGACTTTCCCCCTCGGCCGCTCCCTCTGGAGCCTCCACCTCCGCCTCCGCAGCGACGAGCCCTCATCCTACCTGCCTCTTTTCCACCTACAGCGGCGTCCACGTTCACCCCGGTGCTAGCGGCCACTTCGTCTTCTGCATATACTAGGATCAAACATAACTAGATTAAGGTGAAACTTTCCTATCTCAAATGGCTTTGTATGGAGGGCAACAAACTTATCATAGATCAGGGGAAGCTTCCTTTTTCAGTAGGCCTACATTAGTATTGTAATGACCGTAAAATTTTGATACTAGTTAAAATAAATTTTTGGTATTTTAAAATATTTAATTATGATTTTTAAAAGAGTATTTGTATTTTTCTCGATTTTCTATAATTTTCTATGATTTAAAGTCTAAGTTTTATATTTATTTAAATGGTTTTTATATTTATAAATTAATTTAGTGCAATGAAATTTCTGGGATTTATCTGTTGTGTCGATACTATTACGTATCATTTTGAATAATACGTGGTATTATTATTATTATTACGTATATTTTTGTATAATATGCGGTATTATTAATTACGTATTAATTGTATAATTTCTTGTACTATTGCGTATTATTGGTCATATTAGTACAACTGGTACGTTTTATCGTGTAGATAATTGTCACATAATTATTTGATTTTAAATATAAATAAATATTTTTTATTATTAATTATTTTCGTTTAATTGTACAATACGGGTATATTTTCGATAGTTTCATATCAACGGTTGTATTAGCTCAAAATGTACGTTTTTATTTGTAGATAATTATTATGTAATTAGTTTAATTTTTAAGTACCCGAAATTATTTATTTTAATTATTTTCGTTTAAATACCTAAACCTATTTGAAAATAATTCAAAATTATTTTCCTTCCCGCGACAAACCCTAACAACCCCGTTCTCTCCCTCCGCATTTTTTCAAAAATGACGGCGGCACGCGCACCGTATTCACATTGCCAATCCATTCAATCGTTCATGTGACATGGTAGTGCGAAGATAACTTTTTATCAATTTCAATTTGAAAAAACTTCTCTCCGCCGAGGCAACCGTAACAGGGATAGTAACAAAATTCGATTAGCAACTCATTCCAAAACATCACAACCCCTAATTCAATTATTCAACAACAAAGATTCAGCTAAGATTCAAAATCAAAAATCTTGATTTCATTGCAAAACATCAAAACTCCAAATTTCTGTCCAAAAAAACCATAAAATTATTTAGTTAAAAAAATTTACCTGATTGGGTTAGAGGAGTCAGCGGGGTGAAGCCTGAAGGACGGGTCCGATGGGAGCAGAGTAAGGTCGGACCGTCGAAGGCTCGGGAAGGAGGAGAGGAGTGCAGAGTAAGGTCGGACCGTCGAAGGCTCGGGAAGGAGGAGAGGAGTGGTTTTCTCTCTTTCTTTTTTTTTTTCTTTTTTTGTGAGCGGAACAGAGACTGGAAGGAGGAGAGGAAATGCTGACGGAAATAAAGGAGTTGGGTAGGGTTTTGGGTATTCATTAGAGTTCTTTTACAAATAGAACCCCTAACAATTTTTGCATAAAGATCCTCTTACAAAGTCCACTTCAAAAATCAAAATTAATTACAGTTTGAGGGATGAAGGAGCGGGAGGGATGGGTTGCCCCCTGGCCCTGGGTTGCCCCAGCCCCGGGGCTTGGTGGGCTTACCCCAGGGCCGGCCCTGCTCCTCCGTCGCACGCCATCTGTTCGATCGTATGCCGACGCACACCTAGTTGCAGAACCGCCATCTGCTACGTCGCCTCGATCGCCACACGCCGCGTCCGCATCGGCATCATAGCCTCATCATCATACCCCACGGTCTCGTAGGCAAGATCCCGATACTCTCTTGATTTGTCATTCAATTCATAGGCTCGCTGTGACTTGCAAGATCCCTATTCTTGCTCAGTACAATTTTAGATTGATCACAGATTAATTATGCATACGAACTCGTTACCCGAATAATTATTCGTTACAAATACGGGACTGTCGTGAACATATTGGACTGAGAACTATAACGTATAGAACTGTCGTGAACGAAACGGACTGTGGACAATAACGTATGACCATTCACATTGTAATACATATACTGTGATGACCTGTACGGAATTATTTGACGAATGATACTAAAAATAATATTTTGATAATAAATACTGTAAAGATAAAATAAGATAAAATTATTTTAGATTAATTTATGATTTTTTTAAAGGATTTATTTGACAAAATAATCATTTTAAAATAATTATAATAAATTATGTTGGTGAAAAATCATTTTTAGAGTAATTATAATAAATTAATAGAATTTATTTGACAAAAGAATTATTTTACAATAATTGTAAATAATTTAAAGGAATTTACTTTAGAATAATTATCAATTTAGAATAATTTCAATAATTTAAGAAAGTTTTATTAAAAGGAATTATTTTAGGACATTTATAAATATTGTAAAAGGATTTATTTTAGAAAATGGATTATTATGGATTTTCATGATCTATGTTTCTTAATTTTAATTATGTGATATGCTATGATCTTGTTGTATATGATTAGCTGCATTTATTACTCTTTGTTATGCTTGAGAACCGTTAGAAATTCATGACTAGTGTAGCCTGGTGTGTCCTGTTTAAGACTTAGAAACCTGTGTATATGTTAGCTTAGAAAAACAAGAGAGTTGGGATGGGGAAGTTAATGTTCATGTGGTCGGATAAGACTGTTGATGTATCTTCCAGACTAGAACCAGTGAACCGTTTCGCACTGGGGTTAGTTTGTTGGGCCAAGTGAACCGTTTCGCACTTGGTCAGTGAAATCGTTTCGTCACCCGAGTTTTGCTTGAGTTCGAACCAGGCCGAAATCGGATTTCATGTAGTCCTCTCACCGAACCGTTTCGCGGGATTGGATGCACGTAGAGGATTTGTGGACAGTCAGTTATCCGGTGATATGAGCGTTGGCTCTGTGTGAGATGTGACCAGTGACCTGTTATACAATGGCTAGTAGTATGATCTCGTTACTTGGATGATTAGTCTGATCATTAGCTACATGACCTCGTTACCCGATCGGTTTTGGATTCTTCTGATTATTATATTCTAGTGGTGGATTTCATTTAGATTATTACTATTGTTATTATTATTGTTATGATCGACTTGTTACTTGGTTGATTCCCTTGGATTTATTATGATTATTCTATTCTAGAAGTAAATTATATTCAGAATATTAGTATTTCAGTTGTATGTTTCCATTGTTATCACCATTATCGCATTGGTCGCACGACCGTTCTATTCTTCCTTTCGGGATCTTGCCGTGCGCCATGCACCTGACGTACACCTGTTTTCTCTGGTGTACGTCAAACTTAGAAGAAGAACATGTTCAGCTTGGAGATGCGCCAAAGCCGAGTATTCTCAGTAGGAGTGTCTTGTAGACGAAGCAGAAGAAGAGTTGAAGTTCAGTTATTCCTTTCAGTTTATTTTCGTAGCATTTCCTTTTCCGCCTGATCATTGTATTTTATATTCTCCAGTATTTCATTCAGATAGTTTGTATAAGGGCATGTTTGGCCCGAATATTATGTCTGGATGATCATTTCAGTTGTGATATGTATCTTTTGGTTATGAGTTGTTTATTATATTCTCATTACTGTGATCGGGGACCTGTGCCTTCGTTTGTATTTCTTGACGCTTAGCGTATTAGATTGAGAAGACGGGGTCTAGCACTTATCTCTTCTCAGTTTAATACGTCGCGGGCTTGCTCGCGTCCCGATTCCCTGATATTTTGGGAAGCGGGGCGTGACATGAAGGGAGGGCAAAATCAGGTTTTTGGACATTGAGGGGCCTGGACATAATTTTTTTAAAAAGAAGGGGCTGCAGCACATTAGGGAAAGTAAGGGTTATCTCTCTATTCCGAATACATGTAATAACGATACTTTTGTAATACTCTTACTTAATCGTTCTACGGCAAATAAGTTTCATCTCCCTATTTTCGGATACATCTAAAACAACACTATTTATATGTGTTTATCAGTTTAACTTGTATCAAAAGTGTGTCAATCTAACACAATCTAAGCATACATGCACCAATCTCGGTGTGCGTGACCACATCTAAAATTTACCATCAATCCAGGTGTTTAATAACCACTAATCTCGTAGTCTATCATCATAAGGTTGAGAGATTCGCTCGAAAACCCAAAACCAAATTAAAAATATATATCATTAATTATATATTTTAATTATTCAAATCATGTCATCAAGTGTTTCACATTGCTCTAGATTTCACATATACATTGCATATCATATCTGATATTTAGATTTTTTTTATTTTGTTTAATTATACTTTTGTATATCTATATTGTGTATGAGTACGTTTCTCTGTCATATCATCTATTATTTACTTACATTTAGATTATTGTATATTGTTCGTATTTTGTGATATACTTTAATAAGTTCATGATTTTAATATTCTACATATGCACTATATTCTTATCCTTTACATTTTTAGTATATAGTTTTTATCAGTTAGTTTTGTCTTGTTAGATTGGTTTTAGTATGTTCACATTGGTTTCGTTATTTACAAGAGCAATATTTCTATCTTGATATTTAAGTAATTATTCATATTGTTAGGTTTGGAATTTGAGTTACTAATTATATATGTTTTGTTATATTATCTCATATCATTAATTATATTCTTTTATAACTAATATAAAAGATAATTTTAAATAGCGTTCGTGGGAATACATGGTAATTACTCATGGGTTGTTTATAGTACATTGCACATTTGTTGTTAATTGCTTCGTTTTCGATGTGTGTTATTTTGTTAATTGTAACAATATACATTGTATACATATGTTATTTTCAGTATTTATTTTATGGTATTTTAGATTTTATTTCTTTTTATTGTATATCTTTTCATCGTTTATGCTTACTATTTCCTTTTTCATTATAGTACATTCACGATGTATATTTTTATTGATTTATATTTAATCATTATTTCTAGTAACAAATTAATGTGTTTAATCTTGTTCTGTTTCATATATTATCAGTGTTTATGTTCACACGTTCATTAATCATTCATGGTATGTTTATCTAAAATTTATCGTTGTTTTATTATACAAATATATGTCCTTCTTATGTTTTTATTTGTTTATATATCTATTTTATCTTTTATAATTTATGTTTTATGTATTATACATCATTGTTTATGTATATTTATGCCGATTGTATTTATATGATTTTGATTACTATGCCATATATTGCTACATCTGAATTGATATTATACCGTAATGATTATTAATATTGTATCTTGTTTATATTTATTATTTACCTTATGGATATTACTAACATTTTTGATTTATTATATTGTTTGTCGGATACATATATAATTAAGTCATTCTTATTATGTTGTATATAATATGTTTATTTAGTATTACTTATTGTTATCATGTCTATTTTGTCATATAATATTTTTGTGACTATTTCCATCATAGTTTATCTTGTTAGCATTATTAACTATGAGTATTCAGACTTTTTATATGTTTGTTATTATGTGTGTGTTTATTTTAATGGCTATTATATATGATGATTTTAATTGCTATATTATATAAACATGTTTAGTATTTGATTTAGTATTGTGTCGTGTATGTTAATTATTTACTGTCGAATGTTCTCAAAAAAAA